GAGATGTTCAAGTCATCTGCTGCAAACAGCTGTTTGATTTCTGTCACATCACAACGTCCATCGTAGAAAAACAAAACATCTAAAGTCAATTATTGTTCAGCTCTCGTAGCTTTATTAAGTCGTGGCACCAAAATGACTTTTAGTTTAGAGAAAAAAGTTCAGTTTGGGTTAGAATAAAACTTTCTCACAGCACATTTGAAGATCCTCTTTCACTTTCTGGGTTACTGGAGTTCTGCTCCGACTAACAGTAAAATAAAAAGCAAAGATATGTTGACTTGTAAAGCAGTTTTACTCAGAAAGCAGTTCAGCTGCAGAGGAACTTACTCATAGACAGGAGGTAGATCAGAGCTGCATGAGGAGCTGTTTTGGTCTCTACGTGTAAAATAAACTACAACAGACACATTAACTCACATTTAAGAGCAAATAAAACAGTTTTTCAAGCAATTTCTGATCAACTATGACAAACACCGACTTGTTTGTGTTGTTAAAGGAAACCAGAAGTAAATAAAAACAACTAGAATCAGGCAAAAAGGATAAATAATGACAGTAGAAAGGTAAACCTCAGACTGCAGGTTTTCAGTAATACGGACAAAGAGGAGACGCTGCTGTGATGCAACACGTGGACTTTCAAACATCCCGACACGTTCGGGGTTCGACTCCAGTCGGGAGACGGCGGCGTTGTTTAGGAGCATGCTCAGTGATAACCGCCTCCTTGTAGCGTCTTGGTGTGATGCCAGGCGGGAAAATGCCATCTGTATGCCACGCTCTCATCTCGCTGCCACAAAATTGATCCACTATGCCCTCTTTATCTGCTTACCGATTCACACCTATGTACGCACACACACACACACACACACACACAGAGCGCTGGCTTGGCTTCCTCCTCAGTGTGTGTGTGTGTGTGTGTGTGTGTGTGTGTGTGTGCGTGTGTGTGTGCGTGTTTTAAAGTGGACGCCCTCTCGCCATCTAAAAGGGATTTATGCATAGCCGGGTCCCAGAGTTTTTCCTGTTACGGTTTGATATGATAAGCTTTTTTATATGTTTAAAATCAATATGTAATCCTATGCAGGAGCTTATCCCTCCGCACACCGCCGACACACACACACACACACACGGCGACACACACACACACATCATTTGTAAATCTATTTGGGCTTTGTAACACATCGGGGCGGCGCGCCACAGACCCTGATTGATTAGGTGCACTGTGCAATCCTATCACATGGGCAACTTTTGATGATGTCGCCAACTCTTTCAGGGCTGCAGGTCGACTGGAGCCGCCGATAACGAGCAGCCGGGTTTCAGGGAATTCTGGGAAAATCGCCGTCTTTGTTTACGTACGGAGGCTGCTCGTGCTGCTTTTCAGGCTTGTTTTTTCTTCATTCACAAAAAAAACCAAAAACCAAACATCCTAAATGCTGTTACATGGCGACGGCGGCGGTCTTAACTTTGTGCAGGTCTCCAGGATCTCCTGCAGTGAAGCTAACGCCACATTACATGCTGCCTGTCGTCACATGTGGCACAACAGATGCTGGATTTGTGCGTTTTTGTTCAGATTCATGCTTCAGTTTGTGGAAAAGTTCCACAACTCACTTCTGTTCAGAGCCTTTCTGTCTGGTTGCAGGTCAGACGGACGGACGACGGATAAAAACTAACATTAGTGAACGTTGGGGACCAGAAACAACCGGAATTAACTTTATTTCTTTAGTCTGTAGACGGTTGTTTCTTCTGTTAGAAGTTTAAAATCAGGCCTCAATAGATAAAGTTAAATCTTTTAGAAAAGGCTCATTAATTTGCTAAAACAATCAAACATTGAAGTGACAGAAACTGCAGTAAACAGAGTTTATTTTGGATGTTTTGCTGTGAAAACTGCAGATTTGCAGAAGAATATCAAGTAAAAGTACAATAAACACTTTAGTAGTGATAAATGAAGGGAGCAGGATCAGATGAGAGTCACAACATGTATAACAGAAAACAATACGTACAGATGAGTTGATCTGATGATGATTTTCTAAATTAATTCCTAGTTTTTGTCTGTAATTTGTCAGATATTGGTGCAAAGTGTCGTCTCAAATGTCTTGTTTTCTCCAAAACCCAAACTTATCCAGTTTGTTGTGACAAAGGAGCAAAAAAAACAGAAAATATTCACATTTAAGAAGCTGGAATCAAAGAATTCAGACTTTTTTTTAACTCAAAGATGACTCCGACTGATTAATTTAAATGTTGACAACTCATCCATTGATGGCTTCAGCTTTAATATCGATGGTTTTTCTGCCCCTGCTGGTGACCGTTCTGCCCTCAAACAGCATCAGACCAGCGACACGTCCTGGTAAACCGATGAGTCGATGATCTAACTAGCTGATTATCTAGTGACAGAATCGTCTTTACTCAACATAACCTGCAGACTCAGCGGCTCGTTTTCAACTCAAACAGGAGAAACAAGTGAAGACAGAAGCTTCAGCTCAGTATTATCTATGTTAACAATAAGGAACATGTTTTATTTTAGGTTTCAGTTTGTTAAACATCATCAGAGCCGTGATCTTGTTCCACTTCTCGACCAAACTGTTCTACCATGTGACCCACAGAGGAGCTTTGTCTCAGTGGAGATGCTGGTTTGTTGTTTATCAGCCGTCGTCCTCCTCCTGTCGTCCACTTTCTCCTCCTCTGGTGACACTTTTTGTCTCTTGATTCCACTTGGACTTTGGCCAAAACCAGCTTTCGGAGGCCTTTTTTTTTTTAACAAGAGGTTTGAGCTCCGAGCTGAGAGCAGAAACCCGACGACCCTCTGTTTTGTCTCCTGAAGCTCAAATGTGAAGTCGCCATATTTCGTGTGAGGCGGACGGACGGATGCGTGCGTTGCGGGTCGGTCTCGCTTTGGGAGAACCGAGGCTCTCGGGCCGGTTTGCTCTCTTGAATAAATGCGAGCGTCGGCGGGGGGAGGAGGAGGAGGAGGAGGAGGAGG